TCTCCTCTGAGTTAGGGCTTATACTGCTAGCATTCAAGTGTCAAACTGTAATCATCTGTGATATATTTAGATTTTTAACTCACATTGCATTTGAACATTAACTACAGGTCAACAAGAAAATAAGTGGTCCTCCTTTGATTGGGAAGCAATGTATGGGCAGAATGCCACATCAACTTGTTCATAATAACACTGTTTCTTTATCAAATGACAAATATACACACCCAGACTCCTCTTTAATCAGGAAAGGTGAGTTATTATCAGAGGCCACAAGACCTTTTAAAGTCATTGTCTTTGAGTCTTAGAGCATGTAGAAAAGAGCATTGTCCTGAGACAAATGACCTGTTTTCAGCTGAAAAGAAACCAGCACAGGGTACACTGAGTCCTGATGAATTTGATAATTAAAACAAAAGATGGAAAAGAAAGCTTTGTACTGTAGAAACAGGATGGCAACTGCTACTATAGCAGGATAGCTCCCTGGGCCAGGTGGTGAGGTGCAGGGGGCAGGGGAGTGGGGGAGGGGGGCTGGTGGAGGAGAGCTGGGAGTCCTTCCACACTTTGGAACAGGACAAGCCGGAGTAAAACTGGGCTGAACAGGTCAGAGTCATATTTCTGCTCTCAACAGACCAGACCAACAGGCAGGACTTTGGGGTGGAGCTGGAATGCCAGCTGCTAGAGGTGGAAGAAGGCTGTGTCTGGGGCTGGTTGAAGAGAAGGCGGAGCTGATGGATACAGAGGTTGTGAGTCAGGCCAGGAAAATTTTTGTTGATCAAGAGACCTAGATGAAGGGGTTAAGTTTTCATGATCATATCAGTTTCTGTGGCTTGGAGAAATCTGGGCGAAGTTCATCCAGCATTTTAAGATTAAAAAGAGAAAAAGGGTGGGACTGATAATGATGCCATATGTCATATCATATATATATATATATATATATATATATATATATATATATATATATATATATATATATATATATCAGTGTAATCAGCCTGAATAAGGGCAAAACTTGGGGCTTTGGAGAATGAGATAACAGTGGTGCTATGTAAGCAGACAGTTTGGCAGAATGAGGAAGGACCCTAGGATTTCAGCCAACTTGGAGTTAGAAGTGAACTGTAATGGTAGTTTTTATATCAGAAGAGCATATGATTAGAAAAATGCTTGAGGGGAAAAATCGGGAGTCTAAATTGTATTCTACTACTCCTTAACTATATAATTATACTTCTTATATTTATACTTGTATTATGATTAAACAAAATGAAACAGATTTTCTACAGGACTTCTCAGAGCCTTTAAAATGGTGATATTAACCTATTAATATTTCATGGCACACTGTCCTGGGGAATATAGTTTGGGAAAGGCTGGTTTAACCTAATGTTAAAAAAGGCACAACCAAATTCAACCATCATGTACAACAAAAGTACTGAAAGGAAGGAATGTATTCCAGAATGTCAATAGTGAATTATTCTAGTTGAATTATTTATTTTACTCTTATCCCCCCATATTTACGTTATTTTTTAAAATATATTTTATTGATTTTTTACAGAGAGGAAGGGAGAGGGATAGAGAGTTAGAAACATCAATGAGAGAGAAACATTGATCAGCTGCCTCCTGCACACTCCTCACTGGGGATGTGCCTGCAACTAAGGTACATGCCCTTGACCAGAATCAAACCTGGGACCCTTGAATCCACAGGCCGATGCTTTATCCACTGAGACAAACCGGTTATCCCCCCCCCCCATATTTACTTTAATGAGCCTCTATAAGTAATGTGAACTTAAAGAAAGCAGTGGTGTAGTATAGGAAACCCATGTTGAAGTCAGAGTTTTTAAAGCTGTGTGATTTTGAACAGGTTACTCAATTTCATCAGGTCTTTTCTCTATAAAATTGGAAAATAATATCTACCTCATGGGCTTGCTATGAAGATTAAATGAATTGTAATATCCAAAACACTCAGCACAATGTCTAGCACATACTGTAGGAGCTAAAGATGAGGTAGGGTATGGCAATTATCATTGAGCAATCAGAGTTTTATAGAGTGTAATGTAAGAGTTCTGGTTTAACTAAGGACACTGGCCACTGACTATGAGATTAGGGAGACCAGAATACACCATTATCTGAGCTTTCAGCTTCCTCCTGAAGCAAAGAATTGCAGAAGCTGCTCCAGAAGTATATTCTTCAGGACATTTGGCAGGGATGATTATAAATTCCCAATTTCGAACCTTTTGTCTCATTGATGAACAGCCTATGCATACTGTATTTTTAAAACAAACAAATACCTTCCTGATTGATTGGTACTAAATTTAACCATTGTATGAGAGAAAGGCATTTAATAACTTCCTTCTTCTAAAATACTCCAGATAGCCATGGCTGGTATGGCTTAGTGCAGCGGTTCTCAACCTGTGGGTCGCGACCCCTTTGGGGGTCGAACGACCCTTTCACAGGGGTCGCCTAAGACCATCCTGCATATCAGATATTTACATTATGATTCATAACAGTAGCAACATTACAGTTATGAAGTAGCAACGAAAATAATTTTATGGTTGGGTCACAACATGAGGAACTGTATTTAAAGGGCCAGAAGGTTGAGAACCACTGGCTTAGTGGATAAAGCGCCAGCCTGCAGACTGAAGGGCCCCAGGTTTGATTCCGGTCAAGGGCACATGCCCCGGTTGCTGAGCTCGATACCCAGTAGGGGGCATGCAGGAAGCAGCTGATCAATGATTCTCTCTCATCATTGATGTTTCTATCTCTCTCTCCCTCTCCCTTCCTCTCTGAAATCAATAAAGATATATTTTTAAAAAATACTCAAGGTAGTCTGCTGAATGAAAAGAACTTGTGCTTTACTCACAGTGTGTCCAACATTATTTTGGCAATTTCATTGCTTCACAACTGTGATTCTTGGAAACTTGTCATTAAGATTCTTCAGAATTCTTAAATAACTTTTTCTGACTTCATTTATTTAAATATCCCAGAATAGCCTCTTGAGCTATAAGTTTGATGATCCACGGAACTATTTATAGCAGGATGAGTACTCCCTGTGACCGATGTTAATGTTTTATTTTGAGAAGAACAAATCCTTAAAAAGATTGATAGGGTTGATGGTATTTTAAACTGAAACCAGTGCCAAGGCAAATAGATATGAACTTGGAACATAAAGAGAGATGGGTGTGCCTTTTTGCCAGTTTAGCTCAAGGCTGGGGAGGCCTCCCACAAGAAGGAAGGCAGAGAGACACAGTGTAAGCCAGAGGTAGTAATCTTTTAGGTGGATTAGACACTTCAGCCTAGGGCCTGGCCTCTGTTTGTTCAGTGCTTAATAACCCAAAATAGATTAGTGGAGACAGACTGTCATAATTAAGGCCAATATTGTCTTTGAGGTGATTGATATGCCCCTAGGTAGGAGAAAAATAGGAGAGGAAGGAAGGTCAAGGTTAACCTAAGTTAAAAAACATATACAAAACTGTGTGTGTTAGGGGCCCTTAAAAAATAGAATCACAAAAGTTACTGGAGACTTGGAGATTAAGCTTCCCCTTCTTCTGAATCTCATCAAGCAATTTATCAGACATGCTTATTGCTGATCGCACGCTGGCTTCCCCTCCACACCTGGACCACTCCTTAACTCTCAGCAAGTCATTGCTCTCCCAGGTGCCCCTGCAAGTGAGGCCCTTAAATTAAGATTAGTTTCCACCTCGCAGGATCATGTCTGGAGAGTGGCTAATATTCTGCCAGCTTCAGAGAGAGGAGGGAAAGCAAGCCTGGCAGAGGTACCCATTACATTCCCTGCTTGCTTAGTAGCTGGTGACTGGAAGACATTCTGCAACAATGTCAAAAAAAAAATAAAAAATAGAAAACAAATCATGCCCTAGCCAGCAGCGGGCAAACTACGGCCTGCCTGCGGGCCGGATCCGGCCCGTTTGAAATGAATAAAACTATTGAAAAAAAAGACCGTACCCTTTTATGTAATGCTGTTTACTTTGAATTTATATTAGTTCACACAAACACTCCATCCATGCTTTTGTTCTGGCCCTCCGGTCCAGTTTAAGAACCCATTGTGGCCCTCGAGTCAAAAAGTTTGCCCACCCCTGCTAGCGGGTTTGGTTCAGTGGATAGAGTCGCCCTGCAGTCAGACTGAAGGGTCTGGGATTTGATTCTGGTCAAGGGCTAGATCCCCAGTAGGGGGCGTGGAGGAGGCAGCCAATCAATGATTTTCATCATTGGAGATTTTATCTCTCCCTCTCCCTTCCTCTCTGAAATCAATAAAAATATATTTTAAAAAACTATTCATTACCTTATGTAATCCCACCACTTTACAGGCTGGTCTGAACGGACCCAGGTACTTTATCATCTATGTCCCTTGCATCCAGCCAGGACTGGTGCTTGGAGTATGTTGGGAATAAAAGTCCTGTAGGTCCCTCGGCCTGATTTAAGGACAGGAGTGCAGTAGAGAACGGTGCGACAATGCGTAATACAAACAAAACAAAAAACCAAGGCGGTGGGATCGAGAGCGGAGAGGGCGCTGTCTTTGACTTTGACATAGCTCGGCTTATTTGGAGCCATGTTCCAACAGCTGCCCTCCCCACTACGGGCCAACCTACCCCTAGGGGAGTAGGAGAGCCTTCGGAACTGGAGCGCAGAAGGTCCCACCACCGGAAGTTTCTTTGGATATAAAGAAAACGGCGGAAGTAGACCAAAGATACCTCCTCAGTACTCCGCCTCCAGCCCGTTCTCCTTTCTTTTGGAGGGGAGGTGCTCCCCAGTTCTTTGCCTTGGTGGAAAGCCGCTGCGGCGGATTCTGTGCGCAGCTTCAGTTGGCTAGCTCCGCCTCCCGATTTTTTTTTTTTTTTTACCTTCCCAGGTTCTCCACGCCTAGACCTGACGTACGCTTGTGCGTGACTAGGGGCGGGATCTCTAAAGGAAGAGCTGGAGTCGAGATCTCGCGAGAACATTTTTTTTCCTTCGCAGTTCTCGCTCTGCACCTTCACTCTCGTCGCAACGAGATCTTTCGAGATCTTCTCCGCCCCCGCTACCCGGCGCCCTCTCTGCGGCCGCTGAGCCGGAGCCGGCCTGAGCAGCACGCTTCGCAGCGGCTCGGTTTCCGAGGACCTAGGCGCTCGTGTGGGCAACCCTACGTCCCTCACTAGCTCCGGTCCCCTGGCCTACGCGGCCCACTTTCCGCGCGCCAGCCCCGCCGGGGTCCGTGTCCTGTTTCGCCGGCCGGACCCGGGCTCGAGCCCGAGCTGTAGCCAGCGCCATGTCGGTGGTGGGCATAGACCTGGGCTTCCAGAGCTGCTACGTTGCTGTGGCACGCGCCGGTGGCATCGAGACCATAGCTAATGAGTACAGCGACCGCTGCACGCCGTAAGTGTGGGCCAGGCCACGGCCGCGTGCACTGGGGGATGGGGAGGTAGCATTTGCTTTGGTCTGCGACCCTCTCGGCGGAGGAACACGGGCCGGGGAGTCATCTCCATTCCGGGCCGAGAGACGGGTGGATACTGGACCTCCGCTGGGCGCCAGGTCACTAGTGGCCGCGACCTGCTGTGTGGTTCTGCGCCAGGGGCGAGGCCTTTTCCCTGTAGCCCGCCGGCTGAGCGAAGCCGTGAGCGGGTACTCGGACCAGTGGAGGGCACAGGTAGGAGCTGGAGGGCAGGAAGGCCTGGGATGTAGGGTGGTCCGAGATCCTTTCCGAGCAGGGACCAGGCCCAGGGCGTACTGACTTTCATTGAGCCTAACACAGAATTCGTAGCTTTGCACACAGCCGGCACTTAATAAAAGTTGAACGGGTTCTCTCGTCTGCCCGCGGCAAGACGTTGGAGCGGCCGGAGTCCCACGTGAGTGGGGGCGGGGCGGCGCCCGGAAGCGAGGGAGCCGGAGAACCCGAGGCTCACGCTGCGGGACCAGAGATCTCAAGCTTGGGGTGGTTACGGTCATAAATCAGGAAAGGATTTAATAAAATCGATGCCTTCTTGATATCTTTGCATTCACTTTTTTTTCACATCGTTTCAGAATATTAAACTATAGTGGGTCATTTACTGCTGTTCTGCATGCATCCACTTTCACAGTAATCCATTCCAATGAGGGTGTTGTCCACAGTTGTTCATGAATGACCCAGGTGCTCATTTTGACATCTAGAATCATAAGTTATGGGACCAGTATAAACACAGGCCTAAAAAAATCAGGACTCACCCAGGACTTTCCTTGGTTAGAGTAAGAATCTACTTTTTGAGTACATAGAGATACCTTTCAATCCATTGTCTTCCTCTTGGACAAAATCTTCTAAGCTTCATTCTGAGCCACACCGGCCAGGGCAGCCTTCCTTTTCTTTAAATCTAAGTCATTTCGTTGCTCTTAGATCTAAACGACATGTAAAGACATTCACTTCAGAGAGGAATGTATACGTTCAGCTCTTGCTCTCCGAAAGGGTGGTTATTAATTTGATTTCTTCAAATTCCTAATGTGGCTCAGTTGGTGGTGCATCGTCCCATGCATCAGAGTCACCAATTTGATTCTCGGTCAGGGGCGGGCTCCATCGTGTGGGAGGCTGTGGATTGATGTTTCTCACATTGATGTTTATCTCTCCCTCTCCCTCTAAAATCCATAAAAACACTTAAAAGAATAAAGAAAAGGAAGGTTGATTTGTTAATTAAAGCTTCAGACTTCTTATACCACTTCCCCTCATGTCTAATTGCTGTGGTTATGAAAGGAGTCTCTTAGAAAGCATTTTTTCCCTCAATCTGTTGAGATCTTGCTTCTGGTTGTCCTCTGATTGGCTCAAATAAAATTTAAAAAAATATTTTTTGTTGATTTTTAGAGAGGAAGGGAGAGGGAGAGAAGAAATATCCATGGGCTGCCTCCTGCAGGTCCCTCACTGGGGATGGGGCTAGCAACCGGGCATGTACCCTGACTGGGAATCCAACCCGCCATCTTTTAGTGCAGGGGAGGACACCCAACCACACCCGCAGAGGCTCAAATCAATTTTTATAAAAATGCAGGTTTTAACCTTCTTACAAGAGCAGTCTTGGAAGCACCGTCATCACACTTCCATTCCAGGCACCAAAATATTCCCATTTAAACACATTTAAGGAAAGTAACGCTGATCTATTAACAATAATCTGCAGTCAAGACAGTCTTGTTAAAGCTCAATATCCAGCAGCTAACACATTATCTGGCACTTAGCTTCATTTTGTAAATCATTTGTGAACTCGAAAACAGGTGTATTTCAAAAGTGTATTCTTTAAAAATGATTTCACATCCAGGCAGTGTGGCCCAGTGGTTGAGCGTAATGTATCAGGAGGTCACCAGTTGTCAGGGCACACCCCTGGGTTTTGGGCTCGGTCCGCAATAGAGGATGTGAAGGAGGCAGCCCATTGATGTTTCTCTCATTGATGTTTGTGTCTCTGCCTTAACCTTCCTCTCTCTGAAATCAAAAATATTAAAGTAGTTTTTTTAAATCACTTAAGAACTAAAATATAACCTTGCATACAAATTTGGTAGAAGTAATCTACAGGAACTTTGCCATTAGTTTCCTAAACAAACATTTTTTTCTTGACTTAACAAGACACTTGTTTGCTGTAACAATAGAAACACTATAAAGTGTTAGAATTAAGTTTCCTTCAATTATTTGCTCTCTATCCTTGCATACCTTTTTCTACATTCTACTAATACAGTGTGTGTGTAAACAAAAGGGATAATATTTTGTAACTGATTTAACTTATACACAGTGGGGCAAATGTACGTTTATAGTTGGTATAGAAAATAATACAGTAATTAATAAATAGTAATACAAGAATAAACTTTAGCATGTGCACAACTGTAAACCTGCGTTTCCTCACTGTATTTTAGACATCTTTCAGAGTCAAATATGAATTTATTTAAATATGTAATTCTGTATTATGGCTATGACATGTTTTCTTCAAACAGATTATTTCTAAAATTTTGCTATTACAAGTAGTTTTTCAACAAGCAGTTTTTAAAAAAATGTGTTTTTTAAAAAAATTGATTTCAGAGAGAGGAAGAGAGAGGGAGATAGAAACATCAACTATGAGAGAGAATCTTCATTGATGATGCCTCCTGCACACCACCAACGGGGTATCGAGCCTGAAACCTGGGCATGAGCCCTGATCAGGAATCTAACCAGGACTTGATTCATGGGTCTACCACTGAGTCATACCAGCTGGGCATCCAGTTATCTTTTTTTTCCATTCCTTATCTGAGGATGTTATTTTTTCTTTAAATCCTTACCTGAGGATATGTTTTTATTTATTTATTTTTAAAATATATTTTAGTGATTTTTTTACAGAGAGGAAGGGAAAGAAATAGAGTTAGAAACACTGATGAGAGAGAAACATTGATCAGCTGCCTCCTGCACACCTACTGGTGATGTGCCCGAAACCATGATACATGCCCTTGATTGGAATTAAACCTGGGACCTTTCAGTCCAAAGGCCGATGCTCTATTCACTGAGCCAAACCGGTTAGGGCAGGATATGTTTTTATTGATTTTCAAGAGGGAGAGAAACGATGATTGGCTGCCTCCCGTATGCAGTTCAACCTAGGATGGAACCTACAACCTGGACATGTGACCTGACTGGAAATTGAACCCGCAATCTTTTGATGTATGGGACACCCAGCCAGGGCTCAACAAGTCGTTTTTTATATTTATGTTTACATGTTAATACTTCTATTTTTGTTGGATAGATTTCCAGATGTGAGATTGCTAGGATAAAGGGTATATATGCTTAGAGTTTTAGTTCATATTGTCATAATACTTTACAAAAACTTAGGTTAATTTATACCAGGAACATGAGTGATTTCTCAGTCTTAATGGGGTTGAGAAGATTAAGGAGTTAAACTAAAGTGTTTATTTAGAATAATGCCTGACATAGTTAATACCACCTAAGTATTTGCTAATGTTGCCATTATGACCTTTTTATATTTTCATTAATCCTCTTTATTAAGTCATATATTGGTACAGTAAAATGAAATCTATAGAAGTTTGCCTTTTAGGATTCATCAAATTTGTGGCTGAAAAATGTTTTCATTTTATTTTTCCATCACCATTTATCCCCTCTGTCTTCATCCACCCACAATCACCACACTGTTGTCCATGTCCATGAGTTCTCTTTCCTTTTTGCTCACTTCCCCACCCCAAAATCCCCCAAATACGTGGCTTTTAATGTGCAAATGTTACTGACTCAGGAGTTTGCTGTGCTTTAGGAACTATGTCTCTCAGAAAATGAGTTACTTGTTCTGTTTGATATCAACTTTTTTGGGTACTTGATAGTTTGGGACTAAGTAACCAGAGGATACTCTGATTAATATAATAACCATTTCCAAATCATTTTGCCACCATCCCTTATTTGATAATCTAAATACTATTGGTTCTCTGAAAAGCTCATTTTCTTAGTTTTAAGAAAGTAGAGCAACAGCCGTCCTAACACTCTGAGAGTGCTCACACAAACATGAAACTACCTTTTAAGGATAGCAGCTGTTCTTATATCCTAATCAGAATGTGCATAAATATTTGGTCAGTAGTATTTCTTACCCAGGAAAGGGAGATCAGTGCCATTCTCTGTCTTAAGATTATTATTTTTAGGACTAGAGTCATAGAAATAAAGATAAGAACAGAGTGTTGAACTTGATTTGAATCAATTTCCAACAATGTCAACCTGTAATTTGGAATGGAGGAAAAGTAGTGTCAAACAGCAAGTGTCCGAGTACTTCACATTTTTAGCAGCATTAACTTGGCTTTGTGTGTAGTGTAGGGGACGTGTAAGATAGCAGTTCTGTTGTTTACAGCTATAATTGTTCTAGTTGGAAATATGAATGACATAAAAGCACAGTGGAAGTTTATTTATGTACAGATTTAAAATACTAAATTTAGAGGAGACATTACATCAGTGGGGGATGGAGTGATGAGGAAAGGCAGGCATGGGATTTGAGCAAATAGGATTAGAATACATATAGGAAAGGATTGGGAGAGTCCCAGGAAAAGTGTAGAAATAGGAATAAATTTAATGGTTTGATTCAAAGTACTCAAGTTTGCATGTATGAGATTTGGAGTCCAGGAGTCCTAATGATTTTGGAATCCTTGAATCGGTTCTTCATTATAAAATGGGGACAGTAATAGGTTTTTCTTCTTTTTTTCTCTCAGAGTATTTGGTAGAACCAAGTGTAGAATGCTTAGCACACTGCCTGGTATATGAAGGCTCAATAATGAAAGCTGTGGAACAAGGGAGTTTGTTCATGACGGAATAATTCAGCCACTGAAGACTTTTCAGAAGATCTGTTGAAGAGAAACAAATTGAATGAATTTTTTAATCTAGTCTCTTTTAGGACTTATATTTACAGGCATACCTCAAT